CTTTCTCAAATAATAGAAACTGTTCTGAAAAGTTGCGCTTAACTAAAGATTATCGAGTATTGTTTATGTACTAAATTTAGTTAAAGTTTAGTGGAAAAAAAGATCTACTGTATCTACTGCAAATATTTACTTTAGTCCCAGAACATACTGTTATGATAACATTTAATAACTGATACCTAAATTTTATACGTAGTTATAAATAAATGAAATATTTTTACTTCATATTATTTATCCGCATAAAGTTTTTAAAAATGTAAAATTATTTATTTATTATTTATTTATTTATGTAAAATTATTTATTATAATACATAATCTTTTAATGAGACATTTAATAATGAATTTTATATGTAGATAATACACAGCTTTCTCAAATAATAGAAACTGTTCTGAAAAGTTGCGCTTAACTAAAGATTATCGAGTATTGTTTATGTACTAAATTTAGTTAAAGTTTAGTGGAAAAAAAGATCTACTGCATCTACTGCAAATATTTACTTTAGTCCCAGAACATACTGTTATGATAACATTTTATAACTGATACCTAAATTTTATACGTAGTTATAAATAAATGAAATATTTTACTTCATATTATTTATCTGCATAAAGTTTTTAAAAATTATTCTCGGTCATTGGTCGTTTTGAAATACATTAAAGCAAAGTGCATTAAATGCAACTCGTTCCATTTTGTGGTTACGAGTACAGAGTGCTCGGTTGCATTTCAAGCACGCGAGCACTTTTAAACTGCATGTACCGCTGCATTTTGTATTACAAGTGTCACATGCACTGGCAAAATTTGTTATAGAAGACGTGCTTCGGAAAATTGCAGTAGTGATATGGCATTGAGTGGTACGGAGTAGTAGCTTATATCTCACAGATATAAAAAAACTATTAAGCGTAAGATAAAATATTACTCGCACATTTCACTTCATTCATAATAAGCTTAGATTTATTTTATAAATTTATTTATATTACGACAAGTTTATTATGTATATATGAGTTCAGTTTATATAATAATTCATTCATTCTAAATAAAAATGCAAATACTACGAAAATGTGTTACAATTTTTATATACAACGTAATATTTTATTAAACCCGGACATCATTTTGGATAACATTTCTGATTTATTATAAAAGCAACGCTTTATATATTTTATTTATAAAGCAAAAAACAAAAGAAAATATATATATAAATATACAAATTGTGCAATTTGCTAATGTATCTGTCTACATTTGAGAGCTTTTACTTGCAGTTTGTATAATGCATTTTAGCGGAAGTTCTTCACTTTGCGGTCTTAGAACACAGACGCATTTTAAATAAAAAAATTGTAGCAGTTTTATTAAAATTATTATAAAATATGCGCAATTATGAAGACATTAAAGTAATTGGAAATTATATATTAAAAATAAGTTGTAATACACAGTAGAATATATAAGAAACTCTTAAGTTTTAAAGTTTAAAAGCTATTAGTCAATTTTGTATGGAAATAAGTTGATACTATCATGTGCTTAAATCAATGTTATAAGATTATCTGACCCCAAGTTTAATTAAATAAATTGAAGCTATATTTATACCATAGAATACTTATATTGTATAAAGATGTCCAACAGATAAAATAAATATCCACTAAATTTTGAAATTTGACCTTTCGATCATAGTTCAATCAATAATAATGTATTGTCAAAATTTCTATGTCAAAAATGCACCTCGCTCAGGTCGTTTAATCAGTATAAAAGCTAATGAAATTTTTTAATTTGTAAAGCAAAACCGACTTGCGAGCTGTCAGGAAATAACGGAGGCACTAAATATCAACCACATGACAGATTCCAAACTGTTTTGGACACTCGTTGTTTGGTTACCACGTAAATTAAAGCAACGAAATATGATTGACTGAATCAATTTACCATCAGTAAAATGCTGCTAAAACATAACGAAAATGAACTATTTTTGAAAGAAATCATTATGGATGATAAAGAAGACTTAAATACAACAATACTCAATGCAAACGATCATGGTCGATAATCCTCCTCAAACCACATCACCGCCTCTATTGATTATGTCGATTGTTAGGTGGAATTGGAGCTGCTCCAGTCTGACGCAATGGTTAATTCAGTCTTTTACTGCTAACAACTTAACCATTTGAACAAAGCAATTAAGGAAAAGCGACCAAAATCGACAACCAAAAGAAGTAGTATTCCATCATGTCGATGATAGGAAACACATCTTTGATGATTCGGAATATATTGATGAAACTTGGTTAGGAAGTTTAAATACATCCACTGTATAGCTCGAGCTTTGCACCATCTGAATATCATTTGTTTTAATCCATAAAAAACTTTCTCAATGGTAAATAATTAACTGCCCCAAACCATTGAAAATTACTTTGCTAAATTTTTCGTCGATAAACCACAGATATTCTATATAGATAGTATTATGAAGAATACCCGAAAAGTGGCTAGAGATCAGAAATAACAGTGACCAATATATATTTAGTTTAAAATTAATTTTTAATATAGAAAATTTTTATTTAAAAATATACTAAAAAACCGCAACTTACTGGTATTTAATAAAAAATATATATGTATCAAATTAAAAAAAACTTAATAATCTATAAATCATCATTAGCGAGTACACTCAAAAAATAGTGTATAATGATGCTTGACAGTAAAAGGCCCTTATAAAGCGGTCAGATGATATTATGATTGGCGCTGGATACTTAATTTCTGTGTTTATAAATTGTTTAATAGCAATATTTGAATAAAACTCTTAATAGATATGTTTTTTTTTAAAAAGTTAATGCCAAAATTTACTTTTATAAAGAAATAGTAGGGGTAGGAGTCGCTAGTAGTTTTGAAGCAGCATAAAGCAACCTTAGAAACATATTAGAGTATCACATATACTAATAAGTATGTTTGCAATATATGTAATTGTTCCATTGTATCTTTTACTAAAATTAGATTATCTAAATTTCGAAATATTTTAGTTGTATTTTATGACCTAATGCTATTTACTAGAAATAGTACATTTAATGACCTTGTCTTCGGTTGTAACAATTTCATTTAGTGATGTTGATACGATCATATAAAAAAATTAAAGCGGAAAATATTAATTTCATGCAATTGAATAATTTAAAAAAAAATTGCAAATATTATTATTTTTTATAGTTTTTGGAACAAATCTACGTGTCAAACTGTTAGTTTTATGATTGTGTATGAAAAACAATATATTTAGCTCCCATGAACACTACGGTACAGTGCAAGTACCGTACTTATTCAGTATCAGCAAATTATAATCATATTATCAGTTCTCTCAAACCTTTACTGTGCAAAAAAAAAAAATACAATTTAAAAAAATTCACAGCATTTAGTTGAATCTGCTAACCGTGTCAGTAGGTAAATCACCCCTCGAACACTACATTTCCTTAGCTTTCGACAGAATAACACTCATATAACATATGAGAACCAGTGGCTTAAAAATTGATCAAATTTGGTTCTCAAATAGTTGAAATGTATTTGCAAGGCAGTGAACATGTATTAACCTAAAATTTAATATGTAAGATAAAAAATAAAAAAAATATAGAATATATTAAAAAAAATAATAAAATAATTAATGTAAAAAAAAATAAAAAAAATAATATAATTTGTTTTAATATTAAATTAAAAAATTGTATTAAAAATTAATTTTAAAATTAAATTAAAAATTTATATTCAAAAATTTAAATATTTGTTACAATATATTAGTGTTTAATTTTAATTGTTTTTTTTTTTGCAGCCAAATGCAATTTCGATCAGGATATTAAACCACATCGATTGAGTTTAGATGTTGGGGACTCTGTGGTAATACTTAAAGAGACAACACATTGGTATTACGGCTACAAACAAAGGTGAGTTTTTATAATAATAAAAACATTATTTAAAATCTTAAAAAACAATTATAAGATTTTTTTTTAAAACCGTTTTAGAGTTCATTTTTTTAAAAAAAATATTTTGTACTAAATATAAAAAAAATATAAAAATATAAAAATAAAAAATATAAAAATTAAGAATATGAAAAATAAAAAATAAAATATAAAAATATAAAATATAAAAATATAAAATATAAAAATATAAAAAATAAAACAAAATAAATAAATATAAAAAAAAAACTAAATATATTTAAATAAGTTTAAATTTTTTTGTTGCAAATCACTATTGTAATTAAATTTCTCACTGTAAAATTATATAACTTGAGAAATTTTAAAACCTACTTTGGAACTATTGAAAGTGTAGTGTGGTACTCGTATATTTGTGTATAATTTCCGTATATTTTATACATAAAAACTGGATGAGAAAGCATTTTCAGTTTTTTGAAATTACTATTTATTTTAAAAATATATATTTAATTTTGTGATGTGAGACTTTATTTGCATTTTCTTTTACTAAAATTAAAAGTTGTAATAATAGCAAAAATTGTTTCCCATGTTTAGTTGCAGTATTAATACCATAAAGATAACCATAAATAAAAGCAATAGCCAAATCTAAAATTATCCTAAAAAATGTATATATAGCTTTAATTTGTATCTTTCTTTATAGATATATATTAATGCTTGCTTTTATATGATATGTTTGAAATCACCTATTTATTATTATTATTGTTAGGGGATGTGGCACTGCGACCGTCGGGTCTATTGTGTCCCCTTCTGGGCTTAGAGTAGGTCTTTAACCCCTGTTGCGTCTATAAAACGTAGTATAAAACCTACTTTACAGAGTTTTATTGCCTCTTCCGTAAGAATATACATTCCCAAGAGCCTATTTCGTATGTGCATTAGCGCAGGGCATTCTAATAGCCCATGTGTGGCCGACTTCTCATTCTCTTCACAGAATATACAGTTTGCATTCATAAGTATACCCAGTTTTGTAAGGTGACGTTTTAGTCTACAGTGCTCTGTTAGGATTCCTGTAATGATTCTAAGTTTTTTTTTTTGATAGGTTCATACAAAATTTAGTACTTCTGGAGCAAATAACTGCGTCTGCCAACTTTATTTATATAAGTATTTTCTATAAAAATATTTGTATTTTCTTACATTTTAGTAGCGTTCTCTTTATTTATATGAGTACAGTTAGTTGATACTTTGTCTGTAGCTTTTGTTTTTCTATATATTTAATATATATTCTATATATATTCTATATATATTATATTTATATTCTATATATATTCTATATATATTCTATATATATTCCTTATATATTCTATATATATTCTATATATATTCCTTATATATTCCTTATATATTCTATATATATTCTGTATATATTTTATATATATTCTATATATATTATATGTATATTATATTTATATTCTATATATGTTCTATATATATTCCATATATATTCTACATATATTCTACATATATTCTATATATATTTTCTATATATTTCTAAACCCATTTGATAGTAACCGCATTCTATTATATGTAAATTAATTACTTTAACTAAAAATTTTAGTTTTTTGACAGTTGAGATAATAATTAATTATTATGAATATATTTTTGAGTTTAATATTTAGTGTTAGAAGTTTTTGCAAAGCATCTTCCATGATCTGATTTTGGCTGAATAGTTTATTTTTAATTAAGTTGATGTTTTTATAAATTTGTTTTATTTTATATGAAATTGAAGTCATTATTAGTGAGGACTTTAATTACTTTAGCAAATTTTAGGGAATTTTTTTTATTTATTTCATTTGAAATCTTAAATCTGTTACAATTTCTTATAAATTATATTGCAGTTTATTATTGAATATTAAATTAAACGTTTGTTAAGAGTTAAAGAGTTCTTAAAATAACATAAACATAATATATTCTGTATCAAAGTTTATATTTATTTTAAAATGAAACTTGTAAACAACGGAAATACATAAATCAGGTACAGATTATGGTTCTTCCTGTGTTTGCACTAGTGTTATTCTGAAAATAAATCAAAAAATTTGAATACTTCCATACTTCATTTGTAGAGAACTCAACAACCATTTTTCTCATTCCTAAAACTTAAAACATATGTTAAATATTTTTTTCCCGATATGCAGAATGTTAAACAGTATTTTACACTAAAATTCCACATTAAGAATTTCAAACATATTGCACACTTATCTGCATATCCATAACATACTCTTTTCCATAAAAATATTCCTTTAAATAGTTAAGATACAAAATTTGTATCTTTTTATGCAAACATCAAAAATAAATATGAGACCAACTGACGAGGCTTGCAAACATTTGTTTCTGCTTTTGGTGTGAAATTCGAGTTGATTTTGTTTTTAGTTTTTATA